TCATATTTGTTCGGTCGAACAGACGGTCGATTAAATATCCGTACCGTTTTCATCCATGCCCTCGGGCGTGGTCACTCAACGCGCGCGCGACGTCTCGCGTCCTCCTAAATCCGAACAGCTTGGCAGAGACGTACGTATTATATGTATATTATAATGTACGTAATATACTTCCTTTATTCAGAAAAAACATAATTCTAGACATGAACCTGAACAGTGCACGGAGGGAGTCGTGTTAGGTTAAAAACTAGAATTGAGTTTTTTTTTTTACGGAGGAAGGGAGTATGAGTGTGGATTTTCTACGACGGGTGGTAACTACCATCCCGGGTGTGGTAGCCACCCACGTTGCACATGAGTGACACGTGGCTGCTCTAACGGCAGGATGAAAATTTTTCTGCTGCGTCGTGACAAAACCCCCTCCATTTCGCTTCTGACATTTTAAGCATGCGTGAGTCAGTACTCTGTCTGACAGGACACTCCATAGGTAAGGCCGTGTTTAGTTGTCCGAATCGGCGTCGATCGATTCACTGTAGCTACAGTGCCGCGCTTTTCGGGGAATGGTGCGCCCTAATGCCGTTTAATTGCGCTAAAACGTTTGTCTCACAAAATACAACTAAACCGCGACCGCGAAAAATCTTCTTTTTATATAATATCAAAGTTAGAAATTTGGTGGAACTAAACATAGCCTAATTTTTAGAGGCCATCAGAGATTAACCTGCATCTGAAAACTAAATTCTAGAGGAGGTCAGAAATTAACCCGCCTTTAAAATGCAGCAAAAAAACAAAAAAAGTGGGGCCACGCACTGCAGCACTGGCGGCTGCCGGTCGGCCAGATTCGACAATGCACCGCGGCATCAATCGACCACGCTCGCCGGCCATGCTCGCGCTTGTCGGGGACTGGTGCGCCCATGCCGCCGCACGCCACCGCGACCGCGCTCGCCGGGGACAGCAGCCGCCGCGCTTGTGCTCGTCGGAGACGGACACGCCAGGGCCACCGCGCTCGGTCGTGCGCGCCACTCGCCGGGGACGGCCAAACATAGGCTGTTGCCGCTCTCGCGCTCGTCGCAGATGGGCGCTCCACCGTACGCTCAGGTTGCTGCCACGCTCGTCGTCGTGCGCCGCCGCCGCGCGCCGGGCTGCTGCCACGCTCATCGAGCTGCCGCGCTTCGAACCTCCATCACGGGCTGCCTTGGCTGCTCAACTTGCGAAGAGAAGGAAGAGAGAAGAGGGCAGGAATGGAACAGAGAAGCAGCAGCCCAACGCTCATCTATTTTGAGCCACGGGAGGATAAGAACGGAGGAGGGATGGATAAGGAGTTAAGGACGGAGGAGCGAAGCAACAGCCCAACAGCTTGTAGAGGCGGCAACCGTTTCCGAAAATTTTCTCCGCGCTCAAGAGACGGCCTTGTTTAAATCTTGCGCTAAATTTAGAGTGTCACGTCTGGTATCATGCTCGGTGTCAGTAATCCGTGAAAGAAATTTATTAAGCATAATTAATCTATTATTAACACATATTTATTGTAGCACCACATTATTAAATTATAGACCAGTTACTGAACACCTGAACGTGGGAATGCCTTTCGAGCCGCATAGGCCCCGTTCGGCTTACCCAGAAAACGGCACTATTTAGCTTTTTTTTTTTTCAGGTCGAACAATATTTTTCTTTCACAGGAATTTAGCTAGAACAATATTTTCAGTCAGTTTCAGCCACAATTCAGTAAGCTGAACGGGCCATAATTGTAATACGGAATACAGTAGTGTTTTACTGCTCTAGATTTTGGCTTCTTCAAAAACCAAATATTAATTTTCAGACCATATTTTGTCACGCCTTCAGTTTGATTTAACCAACAAAAATTACAAACCAAACAAGCAATTAACAGACCGGTACGTGAAGAAAATAGAAAGAAAAAAATGGGAGCACCCGTGGTCCCGCATGCATCCACCATGCACATGCGTGTTGTCTTGTTGCTCTGCCATCAACCCGTGAACGAGCATGCTCTGCGTGCACAGAGTTCAGAAATGTTTTCTTTAAATCCTAATATCTATTTAACCATTTATCTGATTTGTAATTTTTTCAGCATAATATTTATTGTGATTTTATTTACAAAACAAGATCCCATATGACCATGTTTTTTTAAAACGTAGGAAGAACTTCACAAGAATCATGGAATTTTATAAAAAAACAATTTAATTTTATATAAAAAATATTTAAATAGTAGTAGTGTCGCGCATGAAAAAACATGAGAGAAATCATGGAAATTTTTTGGATAGAATTGTACCGATAGAATTCTATTGTCCGTACTTGTTATTGTTACCGATAGAATTCTATTGTCCAAAACTGTTGTGAAGCATGCGCCTTTCCAAATAATTTGTGCCGTCGGGGATGGACCACTTGCTATGCGTCAAAAACAAAGACAGTAGCGTCAGCGCTTCTATAAGTAGCATGTGCAGTTGTTTGATTAGTTCTTGCATGTGTCGTTTCCCAAATTTGGTATACGTGGTCCAGGGTGGGTATTTACCACCATGGGGTGGTAGTTACCACTCGTTGTAGCAGGATATTTCTCCATAAAGTATGTAAATACGATCTCGTACGACTCACCAAACCAAAGCATGGAAGTTCCTTGTTTTTAAGAGGAGAACAAATATGTATCAATTGTTGAATCAGATACAGCAATGGGCCAGAAAGGTCAAAGGGGCAACAAGAACTGTAGTAAGTCGTCACCCCCATGCTGGACACCGCTGAGGTTGGGTTGTGGAACCTGAAATGCAATGCCACGCCTCGCGACCAAGTGCGCCTCACACGTATTCACTCCATTGCAAATTATAAGATGTTTTGACTTTTCTATATACATAGTTTTGCTATACACTTGGATATATACACTATGTCTACATATGTAGCAAGAGCAGCGTATCTATAAAAGTCAAAATATCTTATAATTTATAAAGGAGGGAGTATAAAATAAACATGACGCATCCGTGGCCGCTTCTACTTGTGGATTTTTTTTCAAAATGGTCATGGAAGGCTAAGCATTAGAGCATCTTTAAAAGACTCTTTTATCATTCCTAATTGCTAGGAGTATATATTTTAATAGAAAAATACCCTCAACAACTTCTTTTATCATCCTTTATTTTGGATTTCTTGCTAGACAAAGATAGCAAAAATGGCTCTCTAGAGTGTACACAAGATATAGAAAAAACTGTTTGAGGATAAAAATATATAGAAAACAATTTTTATGCAGATGACTCTCCAAATAATGATTTAGAGAGTGGGTTTTAGAAAGATTCTTGAAGATGCTCTTAATATTTGTATCTGCTTCGCTCGCATTGCATCACACATGCAACATGCGGGTGCCGCGTGCCAAGGCCATGTTTGGATCTACCGATAATAGTTACACCCTCCGTCCACAAAAGAAAGAACTATGAAATTTATACAAATCAAACTGATATAACTTTAATCAACTTTATAGTAAATTGTACAACTAATTTTATTATAAAAGTGTTTTTCATAATTAATCTAATAATATTTATTTTGTATTATACTCGCTTTGTTCCAACTTATAGGCTGTTTTGGTTTTTCTAAATATACAACTTTTATTATGTATGTAGACACATCGTATATCTAGATGTACCTAAAATACATTATATCTAGAAAAAAAAAACAAAACGACCTATAAAACATAAAAACCGTCGATATATCAGGCGAATCCAAAATTAATACAGGGTGTGACCGCACGAGTGCCATATGCTCGGCAGCTCAGGTGATTGGTACGCCGAGCCGCAGAGGGTGAGACGCATGATACATCAATGGGCTGGCCTGTTACTAATTTGGTCCAGGCCACTTTACCTGGGACATTTTATACGTGGGCTGAGCGACGTTATGTTCCCGCATAAGGACCTACCACCGCATATCGCAAGGCCCCAATCACCAGCCCGGCATCCCCAACCTTAACTACCCTTTTTGAATTCAAAAAAAAAAAACTTAACTCCCCTTCCCTTCCCTCCCGGCCTCCCACAAGGCCCCAACCGCCGCCTCCCCTCCCCCGACCGCCCTCACCTCCCGTCCCCTTGCTCGGCATCTCCCTCGTCTACGCCGCCGCCTTCGCTTTACCCATTCCCTTCTGCCTCTTTCCATCTAGAAACCCTAGAATGCAAGTCGCTCCTTCCGGAGAGAAGCGAGGAGCCCAAACTGACCCTGGGATGGGTGAGATTTCCCTCGTCTACCCCGGTGATATGCCCCCTGGTGACAGACGTCGATCTTATGCGTTGGAGTGGATTGAAAATGTGGCGGAGGTCGACCCAGATCCGGTTGTGCCGCCGACTTATATAGTCCGATACGCAGGTACGAATTTCTTTGTTGTTTTCTTCACATTTTCTTTGATACTAGGTCATAATTAACTGCAATCGAGTCTCCGCTGGGATAGGGTTTCGGTGTTTGGGATGGCGGGCGGTTCCGGTGTCTATTGGCCTTTAGGAAAGGTGGTGTCTGATCGGGAGCTGGCGGCGGTGGGCAGCCGGATGTGAGGGATATGGGCTTGGGGGCGCGGCCGGAGACGGGGCGAGGGCGAGCAGGAGAGAAACCGTGGAAGAGGAGAGGAGCGGGAGGTTCTTATTCTGGCGGAGATCCAACTATGTGATATTATTGGCACTAGTCGCGCCGGAAGCAGAGCTCCGCCACTTGTTAAGGTTGCGGCTGCGGATTTGTCTTTTTATGGTCAGGAATTTATTCCGAATTTGCTTGGCTTATGTGGCTGGTGCTGGATTGAAACCATATATAGTAGACATCGTTAGTTGATTTACTGCAAAGTCAGTCTGTTGACAGATGCATGCCCTTTTGGATTCTCCTGTGCCAATGCTGTATCTGTCTCTCCTATTTGAGATTTTTGGATGGGCCTTTGTTTCTTTCCCGCAGTATCTGCTAACTATATCATAGAATCTGATTAATATTTCTTTGCTGCCCCCATGGTATAAGATCTTCTTGAGAGAGGTTGGGGTTGGGACAGGTTGATGGCCTACAGTAGTATTCAGGTTGAGTGGTGTGACTACAAGAAATATCTCGGGGACTATTTCATCCGCAATGCTGGCCAAGTTGCCATTCTTTGTGCCAAACAGAAGCCTGAGACAGTTGGAGAAGGCGTTGCTGCCGAATATAATGACCTGCATGCTGCAGCCAACCTGGTAAGGTCCTAAATCAAATCATGTCATGCCCTATTTGTTTTAGTGATTCGGTTGCTAATTAACTTCTTATCGATCCTTTCTAGTGTATCAAGCTTGAGAGAGCTTCTCAGGCGCTGCCGAGATTACCTCACTCCTGAAGACATCCACTTGAGCAAAGATATCAAGAATCATGCAAAGCATCTGATCGGATCAGAGGGTGAATCTTCTGTTGCAGCTGCGGGCATGGTGGTATGCCTGTTACAAACTACACCAAACTGTGACGTTCCTCATTCTAGTAGCAATACGTGATGTTAACCCCCTTTTTTCTTGCACCAAATGTTAATGATGATTCCAAAGTGTATCGCGAAGGAGGCTGACCTGATTTTTGAGTTGTTGACGGGTTGCTCTGACTGGGACACCACCGAAATGATCGCCTTTGGCAATCAGATCCGACGGTCTGCCTCAAACCTTATGCTCTACACAGGTTCTAAATCTGCTGCTGCTGTCGCTGGCGCCATGTTGGTATGCATATGCCTGCACCTACCACTACTTGCGTAAATTGTAGTCCATTCATTTTATGCTGACGAGCTTCTTGTTACCAATTGTAAAATAATGTTTTGAAGGGTTTGGCAATCGAGGTTAAGTTATTTCATCAGTACTTGATATCTGAAGGCCCTCGTGTCTCTGGGTACGACGTTTCTCGTCAGATCCGCAGATGTACAGCGGCACTTTTGACCAAGCTTGAGGAAGAGTTGGCTCAGGACACTGCTGGTGGGAATGGCACCCCTGTTAGTGACATTTAATTGGTCTTTACTATTTCTAGAGTCAGTAACAGTGAAAAGGACAATAATGCAGGTGAGGAGAAGAAGAGAAAGTTGGAGAAGAAGAGAAAGAAGAAGTTGGAGAAGAAGAGGAAGAGGAAGTTGGAGGAGAAGAGGAAAAATAAGTTGCAGAAGAAGATGAAGCTGAACGGGGGAAATGAGACCAAGGTTGAAATGCAAAAAAGGGCAGCATCATTAGCTTTTGTGAGTTGTTCTTTGTGTGTGTATGTGCAGGAGGTTCACTGACATGCATTGTTTATCTGTTGAAGCTTAGCTTAACAGTTGCCAAGGACAAGGACTTCGAAGCGAAGCCTCCTTTGCTATCTGAGCTACCGAAGGCTAATGGAGAGGTAAATGACAGTGTTTTCAAATTAGAAATTCTTGGTACTGCAGTGCTTTATGTTTTGCAATAGACAGTACAAAATATGAAATGGTGGTTCTCTTGCAAACTTGAGCATTTGTGCAGCACCTTTTCCTCTTGTTTGTGTGCATTTAGTGTCGTGCACATTTTTAGTTGATCTTTGCTAGATGCTGTGAAATTTTTATGTTCCTTTACTTTTCTTTTTATGTTCATGAGAGCGCTGAATATATGCTTCTTATTGCCGTTTGACATTGTTGTAATTGTCTATTTATAATCCTGGTTTTTTTCTTTATTATGCATGACATGATTTCTTGGTAATTTGTCTGCAGTGACCGTCAAATGGACGACAATACAAGGAGCGGATGATGTCTAGACGTATCTGTTGTGAAACGACACCTAGAGACGAACAGATGTCTCTTCACGAGTGATCTCATCCATTAAGTACATAATTAGTGGATATGATTAAATAGTTAGTTTTAGTCCAAAGAGTATGGCCCCGTTTGCTTGTCTTAAATTTGGCTTGTTCGGCTTATTTTTTCATCCAGAACAGTGTTTTTCTCTCACAACAATTCAGCCGGAACAGTGTTTTTTTCAGCCAGTTTCAGCCAAAGTTCAGACCAGCGAACAGGGCTTATATACTTTGTGAACAGTTGTGTCCCTTCTATGCACCCCTTCACCGAATAAATATACTTCAGAGATGGATGAAAGATACAGTTCTTCCGAATCTTTCATTTACGTTCACTTCTTAACACGTTATCAGCACTCTGCTCTACAAATGAGATGAAGAACAAGAGGCACAACTGCCTTACCGGCGACGTTTGCACTGAGTTCGGCCACAGAAGAACGAGTACAGCAGTCCACAGACGATAGATGGCAAGATGCTGTTCTTCGTAGCGAGGTAGTATAGAAGAACGTACGGTTCTCCATCTCAGGCAAGAAAATCTTCTGAGGACGAATGCTCACGGTAAGAACATATGTGAAATTTTCCATTAAAAGTTCTTACCAATTTGACCGCTCTGGAGCAATTGTTGCGGGAGCTCACCATGCCCACGCATGAACGTCGTCGGCAACCGCGGCGGCGGCGGGACCTGCGTGCCCAGCCTGCGGCAGCGGCTGCGACTGGCCCGAGGCCATGACTCATCGACTTGTCGTGGTAGCGGCATTGAACGACTCCAGCACCTGGCACGCCCCAACAGCGGTCACTGGCACCATGCTTTTCATTCCCATCAGCGTTGAGGCGGCCAGCAGCGGTGCTCGCGCACCCGCACGTTTGCACTTGCTGCGGCAACGTACGCGGCGGCAGGCAGCCCGACGGCAGTTCGCTCGCAATGGCCTGGCGGATCCAGCGTAGTGCAGCGGTGACGCCCGCCCGCCCGACCTGCGTCGGCGCCCGCACACGTTGTCTGTCGTGGGGGCGCACCTGCCCCATCGGCGATGGCACCGGGGCTCGCAAGCCTCACGCGGCCAAGCGGTCCGCGGCCGGGCGCTCGCGGCCAGACAGCCCGCTGCCGAGCGCTCAAAGCCAGACGGCTAACGGCACCACTGGCACTCGCGGCCGAGTGGCCGCGTCTGGGCTGTCTACGGCCGAGGCCCCGCTGGCCGGTTTCCACCGGCGGATGTTTTCACCCATGACTCCGTGGCCACCGGCTTCTACGAGAACAAGACGTTCCGTATAGGAACCGTCCATTGGAAGGATAAGGTTGTGCATTTGGCACAAAACCCCACTTATTTTCTGTGTATTTCGTGTTAGTCCAAATAGATTATTAATATATTCTAGATTTATGTTTTAACCCTCAGGTTTTACATACTGCAGCGTACTATATTTACCCAGTAAATGCTCATTTTAGACCCTAGATTTAAAATGTAGGATGATGCACAATATTTACCTCATATAAATAAGTATTTTTGAGACCCATGTGTCATAAAAAAAATTGCATCATAGCATGTACTAGTGCAGATGAATTTACCACAGTAAATTTGCTTTCTAGATCTTATGTTTTCTAGATTTTTTTAGTACTGTTCAAAACGTTTGTCCAAATTGACAAACCCAATAAACATGTGCTATTAACATTACATTGTTCAAAGTGTTTGTCCAAAATTATAAACCCAATAAGCATGTAATATTATTATTACCTCCCTTGTCCTTTGCCGCATAAGCTGACCTGGCCCCCAATGGGTTGAATTCTATTTTAACTTGGTGCTGGTTTTCTATTATTTTTATTATTTAATAGCAAATATGTCTGTGTGTTCAACGGGAGAATAATCTATTGCATTGCCGGTGGCACGAGCAGAGACAGTTTTTCACACTCACCAAGTTATAAAATAAGAAGTTGTTAAAATTCTTCTCCAACTAACTTCCATATTCAGGAGCAAGTTGTTTCCTCCTCTCTCTCCGGGTTTTTTTGTCATGTGTGTACTTTCTTTGTCCCAACTCCTTATATCGATTCAAGTCAAGCACGGCCACTGTCAACCTACCACCAGCTACTGATTGGCGACATGTGTCCGCACCATTTAGGGTTAGGATGGGGGTTGCAATTGCACCTAGCCGACGCTTTCTTCCCTAGGGTTGTCCCCAACAGCACCAGCTAGCCACTGGCTGCGCCCGGGTCTGGCCTCTGGTGACACTCCAATTACCCGGACCAAGTTTAAGCTAGCGGACCCTCCAATTACCCGGACTAAGTTTAAGATGTCATCATTGACTCACATTCAACTTAATCGTCTTTAGACGTGAGTTGTTCTAACTCGTATAAGCATGGCTCATGAGTCCGCATCATATACACAACCCAATACATCTTCGAATCGGACTCCGTATCGCGCTAGATGTGAGCTGTTCTAACTCGCATGAGCATAGGTTATATAAGTCCGGACGAAATAAGCTATGCTATCGGGTAGTTAGGGGAAGGTGGCCCAAAAAAAGAGGTTGAAATTTTGGTTCTTTAATATACATATAATTAGGTATAGGTAGATCTAAAATGCGTAAAAATTGAGAAAATTAATTACATAAAAGCATAAACCTATAGATACAACAAAATCTTTATACTAAAGCATATGATATTATATGTTTATTGTGTAGCCTAGTCAAAGTGAGTGTAAAAAAACTGGTTTGGTATTTTTTGATTTTTCTTTAATTTTGTATGATTTTTAGAATTCTCAACTGGTTTAAAGAAAAGAAAACAGAAAAGAAAGGAAAAGGGCTATTGTGCGGCTAGGCCATGGGCCTTGGCCCAGACCACTGCGCAGCCAGCCCGCCTGGGCCCGAATCCGAGACCCACCACAACAGGCCCAAGCGAAAAAAATGAAAAAGAAAAAGAAAAAGAAAATTTTACATTAGGAACCCTAAATTTGTTTCTAAAACCGTTTAAGCCCTTTCACTATTTCTTCGTCTCTGGTATCTTTGCATCAGGACCCATGATACTTGTTTCTAATTCCTCCTTTGACTCCTTCTCGTTCTTTGGTCGCGGCGACGGTTTTCCAGACGGAGGGGGGCGATGACGATACCGAGGCGGATTAGTACGTTGGACGAAAAAAAATTGGTGGTAGAAATTTTGCCTCTTTAGTATTTAGGTATAGATATTTCAACAAGCAATTCACATTAGATTAATTTAAGTCTAATAATTCTATGTTGTAAATTGCACAGTTCGATCTGTGTTGATGTACTATTGTGTTTAAGTCCCTGACTTTGACTATAGTTGTACTTGTGATATTTTACCATAGTTAAATATCTGTTTTTGGTATTATTCAAAGTATTTGTCTGATTATACGGCAAATTCAATAAACAAATACCCTTCTAACGACCATGATATTGCAACTTATTTATTTATTTTGCAATCAATCATTATAAGTTTAAGCCCATTTATGCTTTATTATGTAAAGTTCATAGTGCTTAGATTTTTAATGTAAAATCGATTAAGTGTATTACCTCATTATTTGTATAACACAAATATTTCACATGTATGCTGGCCATACACAAGGTAGCACCATAGTTGCTACTGCGGGATCTATACTAAGTTCTAACTTAATGACTATCTTCAACGTGCGTAACCAACATCACAAATTAGAACATACAGTCTACATCTTTTCATAAGATGACCACCATTAATTCGCATTCCTATTTACCAAACACAAGGTAGTACCAAATTACTACTAAAGGATCTACGCTAAATCCATAACTTAGTGATTATCCTTAACGTGCGTACCTAATTTGTTTGTGAATTACAATGGTCTACATCAACTTTTTGATGATTATCTTAAGACGTGTTTTTACAAATTGCATACACCTCTTGACATCTATATACTACTACTGCTTATAATAATCCTACTCCTACTGAACCCGAGTTTGGAACCATTTGTGGCTTCTGCCACACGAACCCGTATGGCATTGGCACCCATGACTCGTGATCATGCACACATGGATGCACACATGGAGCAGTGCACCGAACATTCGGAGCCTGGTTACCTTTTCCTCCCGCGCTGCGTGGCCGCATAAAACAGGTCGACAGCGCACGGCGTCCTCCGTCACTCCGTCCGCTTGGTTGATGACACAACGAACCTACTAGCTCTTGGAGCCATTTATTGGCCACGGACAAAGGGGTGCGAGCGTGCGTCCCATTACTGGGAGGACTCTCGATATAGCGAGTACTATTTCCATCTTAGGCCTGGTTCACTTTGCAAATTTTTTCAACTCGATGAATAGTACCACTTTCGTCTTATTTGACAAATATTGTTCAATCGTAGACCAACTAGGCTCAAAAGATTCATCTCGTGATTTCCAACTAAACTGTGTAATTAGTTTTTTTTACCTACATTTAATACTCCATGCAAGCGGCTAAAAATTAATGTAATGGAGAGAGAGTGAAAAAACTTGGAATTTGGATGGCATCTGAACAAGGCCTTATTGAGAAAAAACGAGAGAGCAAAAAACGCATGACGTTAACCTACCTGTAGCGTGAGATAAGGCTCTTGCTCTTCTGAAAAGTCCGAGGTCGATTTGGACGCGTGCATGCGCTGCTTGCGCAGTTGCGCCGCACCGCACGAGCTTGTCGCGACGCGCCGCTAGCAGATCGCTGCCGTTATCAAAGCTGGGACCTGGGAGGCGGGGAGCTTGGATATGATGAGCACATGGGGGCGTCCGTCTCCCCCATCTTGCACAGCACAAGCAGCCCATGATGGGTGGCGAGCTAGATTAAGCGTAAACAGTGTGTAATGCCCCCACCAAGGTGACGACGGGATCCACGCTAATCCCCGGCTGCTATCTCTATCGCTGGTAGTATCTGCTGATCTGCCCTCCTCAGCCTACCACTTCATCAGCAGCACCCCATGATTGCTGCTCCTC